ATGCAGTATAGAAGTATCTGGATGATTTAAGATCTATTTTATCAAAATCACTGAAAAATATATTTCTTTAGCTCAGCTAGGATCAGCAGGGTTAATTTTAGATCGATTTGACTAAAATTGTTTCATCCAAAAATGCTTTGTAAGATCTTGGAAGATGCACTTTGATATTGTTGTCAAAAAGTCATCTTTTCAGAGTTCTTATTTCCTTAAAGGGCATTTTTTGATAAGAAGATTTTGGTCAAATCGATCTAAACCTATAATTTGGTGTCTTCGTTTGTCAGTCTTGTTTCCAAACAACCTGATTATAATCAAATCAAAGCATATCTACGAAGACAGAAAGTTCTCGGGATGATTTAAGATGGATTTAACTAAAATTACTGAAAAATATATTTCTTTAGCTCAGATAGGATCAGCAGGGTTAATTTTAGATCGATTTGACTAAAATTATTTCATCTAAAAATGCTTTGTAAGATCTTGGAAGATGCACTTTGATATTCTTGTCAAAAAGCCATCTTTTCAGAGCTCTTATTCAATTAAAAAGCATTTTTGGATAAGAAGATTCTGGTCAAATCGATCTAAAACCATCCCTAGAATTTGGTGTCTTCGTTTGTAAGTCTTGTTTCCAAACAACCTGATTATAATCAAATCAAAGCATATCTACGAAGACAGCGAGTTCTCGGGATGATTTAAGATCGTTTTTACTAAAATTACTGAAAAATATATTTCTTCATGTCAGCTAGGTTTAGCAGGGTTCATTTTAGATCGATTTAACTAAAATTGTTTCATCCAAAAATGCTTTGTAAGATCTTGGAAGATGCCCTTTGATATTATTGTCAAAAAGCCATCTTTTCAGAGTTCTTATTTCCTTAAAAAGCATTTTTAGATTAGAAGATTCTTGTCAAATCGATCTAAAACCATCCCTAGAATTTGGTGTCTTCTTTTGTCAGTCTTGTTTCCACACAACCTGATTATAAACAAATCAAAGCATATCTACCAAGACAGCGAGTTCTCAGGATGATTTAAGATGGTTTTAACTAAAATTACTGAAAAATATATTTCTTCAGGTCAGATAGGATCAGCAGGGTTAATTTTAGATCGATTTGACTGAAATTGTTTCATCCAAAAATGCTTGGTAAGATCTTGGAAGATGCACTTTGATATTGTTGTCAAAAAGCCATCTTTTCAGAGCTCTTATTCAATTAAAAAGCATTTTTGGATAAGAAGATTCTGGTCAAATCGATCTAAAACCATCCCTAGAATTTGGTGTCTTCGTTTGTAAGTCTTGTTTCCAAACAACCTGATTATAATCAAATCAAAGCATATCTACGAAGACAGCGAGTTCTCAGGATGATTTAAGATCGTTTTTACTAAAATTACTGAAAAATATATTTCTTCATGTCAGCTAGGTTCAGCAGGGTTTATTTTAGATCGATTTGACTGAAATTGTTTCATCCAAAAATGCTTTGTAAGATCTCGGAAGATGCCCTTTGATATTATTGTCAAAAAGCCATCTTTTCAGAGTTCTTATTTCCTTAAAAAGCATTTTTAGATTAGAAGATTCTTGTCAAATCGATCTAAAACCATCCCTAGAATTTGGTGTCTTCTTTTGTCAGTCTTGTTTCCACACAACCTGATTATAAACAAATCAAAGCATATCTACGAAGACAGCGAGTTCTCGGGATGATTTAAGATGGATTTAACTAAAATTACTGAAAAATATATTTCTTCAGCTCAGCTAGGATCAGCAGGGTTAATTTTAGATCGATTTGACTAAAATTGTTTCATCCACTTTGATATTGTTATCAAAAAGCCATCTTTTCAGAGTTATTATTTCCTTAAAAAGCATTTTTGGATAAGAAGATTCTGGTCAAATCGATCTAAAACCATCCCTAGAATTTGGTGTCTTCGTTTGTCAGTCTTGTTTCCACACAACCTGATTATAATCAAGCCAAAGCATATCTACCAAGACAGCGAGTTCTCGGGATGATTTAAGATGGTTTTTGTCATTGATTTCACAATATAATTTTTTTTAAATAGAATTAGTAATAATGTTAAATTTAATTAATTGTTATTTTTAGAATGGACGGGTTGTGGTGCCATAACGACCTAATAAATTGGGATAAATTGAATGGAAAAATAATATACTTTTAAAATAAATTGATATTTTGTGTAAATTAAAATTAACAATCGGCGGTTACAGCTTAAATATTCCTGTATTTATAATATTTGACAAATGTGCTATTGTGTTATTTATCGGTATATTCGCTAATTACTGATAATTCTCGTAATTGATATTGGTGTGCATATGTACGTATGCATTTTTAAAAGAGGAAAAATAATCAAATTAATGAGACCCGTTTAAATACTTAGCCAAGGTTTTTGTTTGCTTTTCCAAGCCAAAATATTGTTTACACTACAAGACCGATTCCAAATGGTTTTACTAAACAAACAGATAATGTTTTAGTATTGTTCTTCCGTTAAGGATGCCTTGCGTACACCTGGCCAATAAGAAAACGTTTACAAGACTAATTTTATTTAAATTGTTTGTCTGCCAAATTATTCCAAGTTAAACGAAACACACGCATGTACCAAAATATAAGTTGTTTAACAAAAAAGTTTGTATATATACAAAACAATATTAAGGAGTTAACTTTGTTAATATAAGTCCTAAAACTTATTTTTAATAAATAAAAATATTTAAAAATGGCGATAATTTTAAAACGCTGTGCATTTTCAATCCTGTGTACGTTAATTTGTTTGTTGCTTCGTCACGTTTGTTATTGAAAATGCGTCTAATCGAAAATATTGAATATTAAAGACAAAACAAGTACACTTATTGTCGGGTACACATTTAAAGCAATTAATGGGCCTATTATGGCTTTGCGGAATTATTCTTGTGGTACGGGATTATTTTTATTACCTCACGGCTTATGGAACGTAATTAAATTATCATCGGGGTGTACTATATTTTATTGAAAAATTGTTGTGAAAGTTCAACATCAATTGTAAATTTAATAAATACACCCGGTGACATACAAATAAATCTTGAGCAATCAGTATCTAAATCAACGTTTGATATAGTGCTTTTATTTTACTTTATAATATGTCGTATTTGTGTTATAACATATTCTGTGGTCAGAAAAAATGTGTACACTGAATGTTTTCGAAAATACCTGACATTTTTTACCATTAAGTAAAATAATTTATACCGGTATAAATACAGGTACTGTAGCCGGTATAAATACCCCAAGTAACTTATTATTACCAAAAAAAATTTTATAAGTTATAGTTAGAAAGTGTTATACTTTTTTTTTGTATTGACTATTATTATTATTATTATTACACATCCAAAAACTCAAAAATTTTAACTTTATTTGTTTAAACTTTATTATAAAATTGTTTTAGGTATATCTTTTTGTATAAATAAATATGTACATTTTTACCTTTTGAAATTTTATAAATCGTTAACGAATAAAAGAAAATACATATTTTTGTAGAGCATCTTATCTTATTAATTAATCTTATTAATTAATTATAAAAATAGCTATGATACATCATACAAATTATATGCCCTCTAAATATTCAAGTGTTTAAAATAAATATGACCTGTCTTAAAAATTATGTATCAAGTTTGATAGACGCCATTTTGGTCACGAATTTTAATATGGCACGAGCGAGCTGTTTAATTAAATGAGTTTCTAGAAAAGTTTATAAATGAGTTGCATAGTATACTTTTTCTAAGGAAAATAATTACTTATTATTATCTGAATATGAATATTCAAATTAAATATTGGTATAGAGCGACATCTATACAAAAATATAGTAACAATTCGCGTAAGAATGGGAATCTGTATTACCGTCGGCCAATGTCAAATTTTTCTGTGTAAATCAAAATTTATTCCTTGAAAATGGACTAACAAACGTTAAAATCCGATATGGAAGCAGTTTTTCACAGCGAAAGTGAAGAGAATGTTTTATGTGCATTCCAAGGTCACTGGTTAAATTTAGTTTAGTATAAACGTGCATACAAACTTTTTAAATATTGGCGTTGAGAAACTGTTAAATACTTTTTATTTTTGTATTAAGATAATACAATAATTTCCACATTTGGTATTATATTACGAGACGGGCACTTTATTTTAACGATTCTATGACATTTGACAACTGTCAACTAACTTAAAGCTAACTTCAGCCCGTGACTAAAAACTTGTTGCTAACTTCTTAATTATATGTTACTTTTTCCTAATTATTCCAAAATATTTGTAAAAATTGATAATTAAAATTATATATCAAATTTTAACGGATTTAACCTCACTTTTCCTCAATTTAAAATAAAGCTAACTTCAGGCTGTGACTAAAATGCCCAAAAGCCACTATTGCTAACTTCAGCCCGTAGCTAAAACGCCATAAAGTCGCAGCTCGTCAATGTATTATTTTTTTCCTTTTTAAGTCACTATTTATAGTTTTTTATACCACTTTAAACCTTAAAACGTTTCCAGACAAATGAGAAATATTTACGGTTATAAAGTGGTTTAAAAATATTACAACTTTAATATGTATAAGTATCGGAAACGAAATAATATAATTTTTTTGTTCTCATGAGATATTGACACCTGTTAAAAAATGGTGTAGTTATTTAACACCCTGTATAAAGTAGTATTAATGCGACGGCAAATAAAAATAACGTGTGTTCCCTTAAAAATAAAACTGATTTATTTGTAAAGTAATAATCGTGCGGTATCATTCTTCAGTTTTTAATTTAACTTGTCATTAATAGCGGCATGCAATGATTTCTATAGGCTCCCTTTTCCCGAAAAAACATCCCCAGACGGTTTGCGGCAATTGATTCCGAAATGAGAGCAATATATCCTTCGAAAGGAGCACCCATTAAACCATAAAAATACTTTACGTTTTGTTGGCCTTATACACGCAGTGAATAATTATTTTTATTGGGGCGGTGTTACAAGCGGTTAATTTATTATGAATTCAATGGGACTTACTCAAAAAATTTCTACTGTCTTCGTGAAATCCTGAAAGAATTTTTCAAACTTAGCCACTGACACAAATCACCATTAGTACATAGAGTAGGTAAAGCCTGATCTTGTGCAGATATTTGCACAAAATCGAGATTCACAGACACAAAAAGGTGGCATACTCACTTCTGAATCCCCTGTGATCGTCCTGGATGCCCGGCGAGTCCGTGTCGGTAGCGGGACCCCCATGTTCCCCATCTTCGGACATTTGGGCGTCCAAGCTCTCCTCTTTGACCGCCGTTTGAGGCTGCGGCGACATCGAAGCACTAGCGGGCGAGCAGGAGTCCGTCCTGGGGCTCGGGCCCAGAATCCTCTCTTCCGAAGGCGAGAAAATGCCGTGGCTATGACTAGAGTGCACGTCGCTGTTGGTCTCGATTTTCAGGCATTTCGGCGAAGTGAACGCCGACGGCGAGGGAAAGGACTTCAAGTCGGCCAAAGGACGAAAAGCCCCAGAACCCAACGACAAGCCCGGATGCAGAAATTGAGGCTGAAGGTGGTTCAAAATGTGCGCCGGAATGCCGCTGTAAGCTTCCATGTGCCTCAAGCCGAAGCTCGACGCCGTAAACGGACGGTGAAGCTCTTTCGAAGCTTCAGACATCGCGAACTGAAAAAAAAATCACGAATATTGCCTAATTTGTTTTTCGAAATTGACGATAAAATTACATGCGCCGTAAAGTACTTTGTAATGTATGTAATTTGTATAAATCACATGCACATGACAGATATGTGAGAAAATAATTAAATTTGTTGTATTTTATAAAATTAAATAATAATTTACGCTTTTTGACAACGCGTTATTAACGACGTATTAAGTAACCAATATAACATTAACTCGAAAAATACAGATAAATTTTAAACAAAATAAATGACGCATTACCTAATCTTCTTGGTAGGTAAGTATAAGTTTTTCCAAAAAAAAAATTGAAATATTCCCCAACACCAAAACAAAACACAAAGTGTAACTGAACTGTAAAATCAGGATATAATCGATTAATCGCAATCCTACAGAAAAAAGTTTTAGACAAAAAATGTACATAAAGTCATTGTTTACAAAAAATGTTATTAAAAATTTTGTCGAAAAATTGACAGAACGCGAGATTTTCCGCATTTTAACACTGCCGCGGCACGACGCCAACGCTTTTTGATGATTTTCTCGATTTCAGGTAATTTTTCGACAAAAACTATTATAACATTTTTTGTAGAGAATAAAATTTTCCACATTTTTTAATATAAACTTTTTTCTGTAAAATCGATATTTTTTAAGTTATAATCGATTTGAATGATTTTATGTTTACAAAAGGGAATATTTCTAATATTCAGAAAAAAATCCCAAAAATCAGAACTGATGGCGGGAAAAATAGGTAAAAAAAATGTTAAAGGGTTTGCCAAAAAACACTAATAAACCCAAACATTCAAGAAAAAGTCATTGCCCAAGAAAAAATCTCAATGACTTTTATTTAGCTACCTACAGTAATTTTAAAAATAAATCTGACCTGTGGGTTAAAGGGACGTTGTATACGCAGGGCGTCTTGCAGGCCCCCAGCAGCCTGTGAAAAAACCACCAGAGCCGGTGAATTGAGGTGCCCAGAACTGGGTACGTAAGCGGAATTATCCATCTGCAATTTAAAAAAAAATTCACTTAGACTATCGCACTCGAACGCTAGAAAACTCGGTACCTTATTCTTGTGGAGTCGCCGTAGTGTGGTGTGTCGAGTAAGCGCGATTTAAACACACATCACACGAAGCACGGATTTGAACTGACTGAAAATGTCCCCACTACCCTTGTTTAGCACGTTTTTCCCCCACCCCTGGGATTTTACCACGTGCTTTTCGCTCTGGCACGCCTCCATCCCAGAGGAAGGTGTGTATTTCAACCTATAATCATCGAATTAATTTAGTTAAACAGCTTTATTTATTGGTTTTGCATTTTGAATTGCACATTACCTGAAGGCATTTTAATATTAATAGTAATTATTTTGCCCGACATAAGTCAAGATTTATTTGTACGTCATTCTAAGTTAATAAATTCCACCAATTAGTTATACATACTTACTTATAATTTGTCTCAGCGCACCGTTGTATTTATGCAATTAACAATTACAATATTTTATCAAAATAAAAATCCTTTAAACATATGGATTAGTTATCGATGGGTATTATTATTTTATATCAACATAAAAATTTCTCGAATATGTAGAAATAAAAATTCAGTGAAAATCACTTAATTTTAATTTTAAGGGGTAATATTTGATTTCAATATTTTTTTCTACTCCCACCTTTAAATTCTATGACACAGAGTAAACTTTTAAATACACATTGTGGCTTTATGGCGCTTTAGTCACAGGCTGAAGTTAGTTTTAAGTTAGTTAACAGTTGTCAATTGTTATTGTAAATAATATTAAATGTGGAAATTATTTTATTATCTCAATACAAAAATACATTTGATTAACTGATAATGCGTTAAGAATATTGCGTACAGTGCCCATTAAACATTCTCTTCTCTTTTACAGTAAAAAACTGCTTCCATATCGATTGTTAGTCTATTTTCAAGGGATAAATTTTGATTTACAGACAAATTTGAGATTTTAACTCCGGTAGATTCCGAAGTTATCTATCTAACGGGAATTCCAATAAAAACAACTTTTTGTACCTTTAACATTTCCCGTGTAAGAAGTTTTAAAACTTTGTGATAAAATTTTGTAATCATGGTAATAAAAAAAATCAAAGTTTAACATATTTTTTTAACGTAATCATATTTTAAAGTTATTAAGTATCAATATATCAATTATAATTGTTAAATTAAAACAATAACGGGCAATGTTAATGGTGAAAAATGTTTAGTGATGGTTACTTTATTTTCGTATAGATGTCGCTTTGTACAAAAATTTAATAAATCATTTTTAATTATTTGTCGTTGAAAAAATATATAAACTTTTCGAGGCACTCACTTAATTAAGCACTCGCTCGTAGGCTCGCTCGTGCCTTAATTAAATTCGTGACTAAAATGGCGTTTATCAAACTTGATACATAATATACAATTAATTATATTATAGAAAAAAAGTATTTTATAGACTCACCCCCTTCAATATTTAATCATTAATTAGGTATAATTTTTAAAAAATTAAATTTATTTTACACATTTTAAAAAATAATCATTTATTTGATTTATTTTATTAATTTTTCGATTAAATTTAAAGTTTTAGTCATTCAATTTTAAATTTCGCGGCTTTTTTAGCGATCATGCGCTATTGTTTACTGGGTTAGATGCCGCCATCTGGTGGTGAGAAGATTTAGTTGGGCTTTACTTTGACAGTTTATTGTTTTCGGCATTTTTAACAGTTGACATGATTAAATTACTGCTAAGGCGTTTTAGAGTGTTCCTTAACGAATTCGCAGCATTTTTACAAAGGTTTTGGGATGACATACAAGTTGTTGGCAACAACCTTTTGGAAGAAAAGTAAGTTTACTTTCGATAACATTATTGAGCATGCCCAATATTATGTGTGTTTTTTTAGTGAGGCGATGTTGGATTTTTTCATGGCCAATCGTATTCATCTACTGTTAATTCCTGTGATAGTACATACCGTAATTATTAACTTAGATGTTATTATCGAACAATTTTGGACCACGGTATTTGTGATAGTTGTGTCCGGTATTAATGTGGCCTTAATCGTGGCCTTGTTTCAAATGTAAAATAATATTTTAACGTGTTATTTTTATAGACATAGAGAATATATGTCTATGGCTATTTTTCATTTGCGCATGAACAACGTGCAAGAGCAGCATCTAGTTTTCGGTAGATGTACTTTTTGTAAAACAAAATTAAATACAATAAGAATGATTGGTTGCTTTTTAAGGCGTTTGGTAAAAATTAATGGTTTGGCAAGAAGAAATGTTAGTGACTTTTAGTGATTTTTATTCTTAAAAATTGTAATTATAGTTTTTTTTAAGTGGGGACTTTAAACTTAAACTGAAAATTTATCCTAATATTACAATTTCACCCCTCCTGGGTCCCAAGCACTTTTCATAATTTGTAAAAATAATTAGGTAGGTAGTACACGAGTTAACCACTAATTTTTGTCTTTTATTTACTAAATGTATCGTTTTTTGTCAAAACGCTCAAAGATTGTGAAAAACAGTACAAGTACAATACAGTAAGTTATTTTTACAATACTTTTTAAAATAAAATTCTTTAAAAAAAATTGTATCTTAACAAGTGTTTTTAAATCGCATTTTGGTTTTTTTATTAATAAAATATTTTGAAATTTACATATTTGCCGTCATATTTTTGCAGATTTGAATAGATTATGAAATTATACCTATACATTGTATCATGGATAATTATCCATTATAATAGAAGTATTAGTCGTAGAAAAAGAATATTATGCAACTCGTTCATAAACTTTTCTAGACACTCATTTAATTAAATCAAATTCGTGTCTAAAATGGCGTTTATCTATTTTGCGTTCATAATGAAATGACTTCATTATATCACCGCTTTCGGTGCTGTAATGAGATACTTTATTCCAACAAAAAAATTTGGTTTTTAGGTTGGCTATACTTTAAACAGCATAATATTTTGCATATTGGTTATAATATTTTTATGATTTTTCTAGTACTTATAAGTACTCTCGTATACGAGACTTTTCTGGTAATAAATTTTGTTTAACACCAAAGAAAATCCTTTTTTTTTCTTTAACATTAACAAACGCTTATTGTGAATAAGTAAATTAAGGACGACATGGCGAATCGATTTTGACATTAACTGTCAAACCAATGACTGTGATACCAACTATCTAAAGTAAAATTCTACCAAATTAAATTTAAGGTATAAAATAAATTTTTTTATAGGATTTTTGCAAAATTGATAAAATAGCATAAAGAACTCATGTGATAAGACATTTTGTCGCACGCGGACAATTTATAAAACGAGCGACGAATGACGTACTATTAAACGCATAAAAGTTAAAACGCAATTTTCAACAAAACATTTTGAAAAAATTTAAACCTAATTTTTGAACTCAATTTGAATTTAAAATACCTATTTAAAAGGTTAAATTTAAGTTTCATTGTAACAATATTTGTAGATTAAAATAAATACAATTACTACCTAGTTATCCTGTAAATTGTGGTTGCAAATCTTGTTTTCGGTTGTTAAAAAAATAAATGCCAGGGGCTTGAAACCGAAATCCTCGGGCGAATAATCCCTTGATATCTCATGATTCATCTATCTATTTAAATTTCAGCCCTTTATTACGTTCTCAATATTGCCAGATGTACGAATGTACGATAATTATCGTACAGGTACGATAATTTAAACCTTCTTACGATAAACGATAATGACTATGACTTTCTAGCGTATTTTTTCTCGCTAAGTCATAATTAAGGGTCAATCTGCAAGTAATCAAGAAGTATTTTATGTTTTATTAGGTAAAATTTGTTTTATTGCCTAATAAACAAGCCAAACTTCATGTTTCATTTAACCTTTTTTATTTATACCGCTTGATACGATCAAAATTGATAATTTTGGATCGTTGGTACGATAATTTCACATGTCTTAAACATAGGTACTTACCATGGAAAGTATATGTACGTTATGTTTACATCTTTTGAGGATTTAAGGCACTTTTCCATGTAGGACGTAGAAATCTGCTAACATGGAGAGTTATGTACCTGACAGTTTTAAAAAAGATCACAAACTTCCAGTACATATACGAGTATAAAAAAGATATATGGTGGCGCCATCTATACAGACTATTACCGACTAATTCAATTTTATTTGTTATTTATTAGAATTTTAAAGATAAATACGTTGTATTTATTTAAATGATATTCTAATTTTTTTAATAAACTAGGTAATTAAAACACCAATGCAAATCGTCCACGTAATAAAAAAATTACTTGACAGGACTGTCAACTGGCTGTCAGTGGTCGGAAAATTGTTTACTATGGTTGAAAATTAAAGAAAAACTACAAAGAGTAACCAACCTAAATCAATTAAAAATTAGCCAATATTACAAGACGCTTAAAGAAAACCCACAAATGTATTCGAAACAAGCCGACGCATTAGTTTTATATTTTTTAACCTCACTTTTCCTGTTTGCGAGTTCTGAGAAGATAAAACAGCCAGTGCCGCCTTGTAAATCATGCAGGGTATACGTAGACTCAATTATTAAGGTAAATTACACTTTTAAATGTGTAACAAGTGGTATATTTAAGTGAATTTAAGGGTATGGAAAGGACTGAACGTGGTAAGTTTGAAGGCGGAGATGCAGCCTGGGAAGAAGAAAAACTTCGCCCTTACGCAACAAGCGAATTAAGACTGACCGAAATCCAGGAAAATTTATGTCAGGAAGTGAAAGAAGGCAAAGACCAATGCTATTCGCTTATGGAAAAATACGACTCTGAGTTGGAAGAATGGTGGTTTAAAAAGCAACAAACTCACCCAGATTTATTCGGATATTTTTGCATTGACACGATGCAGGTGTGTTGCCCTGATTTGCACTTTGGCCCTGAGTGTACACCATGTCCAGGGCACCCTGCGAAGGTGTGCAACGACAATGGTAAATGCAGAGGGGCTGGAACAAGAAAGGGTAATGGAACTTGCAACTGTCACGAGGGGTACACAGGGGAGTTATGCGATGCCTGCGATGAGTCGTACTTTGCAGCCTATCAAGACGAACATAAGTTGCTATGCTCAAAATGCCATGTTGCTTGCGATGGAACTTGCTTAAAAGCTGGAACCAAGGGTAATAATGTACACTAAAACCACATATTTAGACTTCTCTTCATATGCGATAGAGTTCTCTAAATGGGTGATAGAGTTCTTTAAATGTGTGATAGAGTTCTCTAAAAATGTGATAGAGTTCTGTAAATATGTGATAGAGTTCTCCTAATGTGTGATAGAGTTCTCTAAATGTGTGATAGAGTTCTCTAAATGTGTGATTAAAACAAGCTTTCTATTACACATTTAGAGAACTCTATCGCATTTTTTATTCATTTAGGATGCCAAAAATGCAAAGCAGGATGGTTATTTGACGAAACTAAGGGTTGTATTGACGTTAACGAATGCGCTTCAAAAACATCTCCGTGTAGCCCGTTGCAGTTTTGCGTAAACAATGAGGGTAGTTACAGATGTTTGGAATGTGATAGAGCCTGTTTGGGCTGTACTGGTGACGGGCCCGATATGTGCTTGAGATGCGCCAGTGGATTTACAATGCAAAACAATATGTGCATAGGTAAGAGTACAATTTTCGTGACTTGATATATACATATATACCTAATTTTCTTTACAGATAGTGCAAATGAGAGGAGAATGAATTACATCTGGTACACAAGATACATAACTTATGCTGGACTTTGCATAGCCACATGCATAATATTCCAGAAAAACACTCTAGTAGCTGGTGTTATTGGTATGGCTGTAGCCACATACATTTACGCATCAGAATACATGATTTCCAAACCGCCCACCCCCGATACAGATGCATTGAAAGAGGATTTAATGAGGGCGTTAAATTAAATTAAATACATTAAACTTAGTCAAATGTAATTCCCACATACTTGGATATGTGGTCATTCTTCATCTTCCATCTCCTCTTCTATTGTACAAATGTATGTGATTTTATTTCAGATTTTCCATTGGAAGAAAATCTATAGTCAATGTGAATTTTGTGTATATTTTTTTAATTTCAACACCAGTTTTAATTAATTGTTGTAATTATTGTTTTCATCATTCATTATTAAAAAATGATAATTTATTAGTATTTTTATTTTATTTTTTTTAATGGGCACCAGTTTTTCAACATTTCGGTCTAAGAACATTGTTTTGTATCCTTTTATACAGAGCCGTATTCAAAATGACAATAAATTAAAAAGCAATTTTAATGCAAATAAAATATTAAGAAAAATTAATTTATAAGTGGGATCAAACATGATGCTGGTCAGGCAGGCTATTTCTGCCAAATAACGGTTTGTGAAAACTGAGTTGCATACATTCAGGGGCTATAATTTATGTTATATATTTTTTTAAATAATTACGAGTTTTTTCAGTATTCTTATAGTATTAGAGCATTGAGTGAAGAAGTTAATAATCAATGGTATTAGTATAGGTACATTATCAGTATTGGTTTATAACAATAAATTTTATTAACAATATGCGTTTTTTTTATAAATAAAACTTGCAGACACAATAAAATGGTTTTATTAGAATTTTATGAAAATGTATTTTTTAAATTACACCTACTTACTATTTTTTCAGGACACTTCCTTATTTAAAAAATAATTGCGTAGGTAACTAAATTAAATTCAGTAGGTACTTAGGTAAATCTAAAAAATAATTTTTGACTGATAAAAATGATAGGCATATTATTTAATTTATAAGTAGATAATGTAATTTGATATACTTAATAAACTAGTCACAAACTTAGTCATCAGTCAATAAATATAAATAATTTATAACAACTAATTATAGCAAATTTACTTAGGTACGTATTTCCTAAAAAGAAAGTTATTTTTAAATAATTAAAAATAAATTAAAAAGCTATTAAACCCAATTTGATTTTATAATTAAGAAATGCTATTTTTATTTTGAGTGCATTAAGATGTCGTTATAAGTAGGTATAGTTGTTTTGAATTTATTGTCAGCGCGGTTATTTTTGTGAGATAATTTTTAAAAATCGCAGATGTGACGTCATGTAATGGCGGATCTGTTATTAAAGTGTTATTCATAAATAAATAATAAAACGTGAAAATATTTTCAAATAAAGAAAGTTTCATTGTTTGTTGTGAAAAATAGCGGATTAGGGTCATATTGGTGCAGCGAGATAGTGTTGACCTAGATTTGTTAGAGCTTGCAGAGGAACGATTGAAACGAATTAAATTGTAGTTGTGGAGGTGATTATTTCGGGTGGTTTTTATTTTGAAATAAAGCCCGAATGGCGCGTATTGTCTGCATGTGGTGATAGAATAAAAGTGGCCAAGAATCGGGACCTGCGTATGGAAGCGGAGTGACAACTGACAACTTTTGTTAGTAAACGGTAGAGAGCTGTCCGAGACGTTCGCTAACGAATCGTGGACTTCTTACCACGGCCATTGTGAATTTCTAGTGATTACGTCTCTGGCAAATAAAGTGACCATAGTGACTGTTACACAAATACATGGTAGTAATTTCGTGACAATTTCATCATGTCTTCCCCAAGTGCTGGAAAAAGACGAATGGACACTGACGTTATTAAACTGTATCCTTTGTGTGTGTTAAATGTAAACAACAACAATATCCTTTGTATCAGCTGATTACGTTAATAACGTAGCTGTTTCGTTTAATTTTTATTAAATCGAGCAATTTTATTTACGTTATACTTTAATACCTAGCAATCTTCGTAATTCTATTTTTGTTTATATTCTCATTACCAGCTGATTGTCAATTTCATAAACATCTGTTCTTTTCCTTAACTCTTTATTTCAGAATTGAAAGTAAACACGAAGTCACGCTTTTAGGGGGTCTTAACGAATTTTGTGTTAAATTTTATGGGCCCAGAGGCAGTATGTGTATCTATTTATTATTTTACACAAATTTACTTTATAATTGATGTTTAAAAAAGCATTGATTGAGTAAATCTGTCGTAGAGTCATTTCATTTCATTCATCCCATTTCAGCCCCTTATGAAGGAGGTGTTTGGAAGGTGAGGGTACATTTACCAGAACATTACCCATTTAAATCTCCCAGTATAGGATTTATGAATAGAGTGTACCATCCGAATATCGATGAAGTATCTGGGACAGTCTGTTTAGATGTAATTAATCAAGCGTGGACTGCTTTATATGGTATGTAATAAAACAATCTCACATAAAAATTGTATTATGTATTTTAATTTTTAAAGGTACATGTCTCACTGTGTTTTGTAATTTGATAGTCTTGTTTCTTATCTATGTTTTGCAATAAAAAAAAACAATAATATATCTACAATATAAGTAGGTATATCAAATTTTACATAGTAAATTTTCATCAGTAAGCATTTTGCTTTCAATCACTTTTTATGTTATAAATGACTTATTTTTTTTAATATAAATTTGTTTCAGACTTATCAAACATATTTGAATCATTTCTTCCCCAATTATTAACTTACCCAAATCCAATAGATCCTTTAAATGGTGATGCAGCAGCAATGTATTTACATAAACCGGAAGAATATAAAAAAAAAGTTTCAGGTATTTGTATTACTTTTATCCTTATTATACTGGGTGTTTGACAGGCCTTATAGTATTATATTATAGTTAAAAAATTAAATTCATCTGCCAATGTTTCACTTAATAAAGGTAAACTAGAAGCTCTAAAATCAAAGAACATATGAATATAACATGGACACCATTTCTTATGAGGTGCCATATGTTCCATAATTATTTCATTCAAGTATAGTATACTATACTTTTTCTACGACAAATACTTATTATTATCTGAAAATGATTTAAATCAAAAATTTGTATAGAGCGCCATCTATGGAACAATACGGGAATCTGTGTGTCACCGTCAAATGTCAAATTTTTATATTTTATAAACACAGATTATAAAGGTTATAAATCGAAATGTATTTCTTGAAAATTGACAGCTTTTCACAGTGAAAGTAAAGAAAATGTTTTATGAGCACTTTACAGTGGAGTCCATGCCCGAATTTAAGTTATAGTTTACTGCCGGCGAAATTAAAAGGTCAGTACAATGTTCATATAAACTTTTCAAATATTGGCGTTGAGAAACTATTGAATACTTTTGTATTGAGATAATAAAATAATTTTCACATTTAGTATTATTTTACAAGAACGGCACTTTATTTTAACGATTGTATGACATTTGACAACTGTCAACTAACTTAAAACTAACTTCAGCCCGTGACTAAAAACCTGTTGCTAACTTCGCCCGTGACTAAAGCGCAATAAAGCCACAACTTGTCAATGTGTATTTAAAAGGTCACTTAGTGTCATGGAAACATGTACGATAAAGGGCGTTTTAAAGGTGGGAGTATCAACTTATATAAAACTTATATTTTAAAATATATGTAAGCAAAATTGTAGTAAATTTTACTTATATATTATTTTTTCTGCAAAAAATGTTATATATTGAATGAAATAATTATGGAACATATGGCGCCCCATAATTTCTGGATATTTTTTTATATATAGCTTTTAATATGATATTATAGTACCTATGTAGTTCCTACATAGAAAACTTTTTTTTTCAGAATATGTTAGAAAATATGCGACAGAAGAAGCGCTAAGAGGGCAAGAAAACGTTAGTTCTGACAGTGAATCAAGCATGTCAGATTTTTCAGAAAACGAAGCCGAAGACATGGAATTATAACGTAGGGCGACCAATAAAAATAAAACCTCGCTCAAAAAAATTCCCACACCCTTAAAATGTTCGGTTAAGTGTTGAATGTGAGATGATTTTTTTTGTTTTTTTTTTCTCTTCGGATAATTTTAGTTGTTTTGCATTTTATAGTTTATATATATAAATATAACGCATTAGAATAATTCATAACATCACAGCAATATTTGATTTTTCGCTTTATTCATTGAACCAGGGTACTTTAATACTCTTTTCTCAGGTTAAATATTGCTAAATTTTCACACAAGTGACTTCTGACTGTGCCTGGGTTTAGTGGATAAAGTGTATAAATCCCTTCACCCTAAATTCTAAATTTGCTGCGTTATTTTTCCTGTCGAATAATAAAAAATACAATAATTTTGTGTTTTGAGCGAATATTTTTTGAAAAAAAAATCATCCTAGATATTTAGGGCCGTTGTTTTATAAAGATAAACTTTTGATAAATATCATCATATATGGATTATGTCGTATTATATATTTAAGATTTATTGGTCTTCTGCGCCAAATGCGAGTCATCTATGTAGGGCTTGAATTTATATTAAAATAATAATAATTTAGACTTGCTTTTTGTTTTTTTCTTTTCAGCAGAGCGAGAACATATTTATTATTTATTTGTTTAGGTAGTGCAATAGTATACCTACAAGATTTGTTTCATAACTTTAAGTTAATGGTCTCATTATTTAAATATTAATACCTGTATATATTTATAATTTGCTGTGTTAAAAACTTTCCGTCAATACTAATTCATTAGCATGAAATAAACTCATTTGTTGTAGATATCTTTAAGTCCACAGGAAAGTTTATAATATTTGTTCAGATTAATGATTTTAAGTTACATAACATGTCAATGCAACAACAATATTGTATTGTTTTGGTAGTTGTTATATTCATCTTAAATAAAGATTTAACTTAAAAATCATTAAAATTGATACACATCACAATGACTATTTTTAATTAGAAATTTAAATGTAGCAAACTCATTTTGGTAGCATTTAACAGTAATAAATACTAAATTTATTGTATGACTTTTATTTTTAGTATTTTAGTTTTATAGGTAAATAAGGCATATACCTATAACTTACAGTTATAGGTATATGAAATACCTTAAAGGTAAGTTTAGTTTACACGTTTTTACTGCAAACAATTTCTATTTTGGAAATTTTAAAATACAGGTATATGAAATAAGGTAAGTTTAGTTTACACGTTTTTACTGCAAACAATTTCTATTTTGGAAATTTTAAAATACATCTGTACTCTATTAAAAATTACCGCATCAGACTGTATACAGTATAGGCATTTATAAGGCTACATAAATTAAAAAATATTAGCGTCTCGTTCAATTTATTCAAATTTTACTCAACCGAAATTTAAAAAAAAATGTGTTGACTGACTTATAAACACGTTTTTTGTTTTTTTTTCGTTTATAAACTTGCCTTAAAAAAATATACAAAAAAGTTCTATTCTAAAAATTTTTTTAGCTTTTTGGAAAAAAATCATTAATTTTTTAAAGTACGCTATTTTTTTATCATTAACTTATTCTGTTTTGATGCCGTGGGTAAACTTTTTCTTTTAATTTTTTTGCAATCTTTGTTTTTATAATAAAAAAAATTAAAAAAGAAAAGAATAATGATAAACATAAACTTCCTGCCTAACAACGGGAATAATTAACTCATTATTCACTTTGTTAGGCATCAGTGATTGGCCGATTTCAATATTCACTGTGATTTGAGCCAATCGTGTTTTAAATTGGGGGAAGGCAACTATAATAACATTTAAAATTGGTAAAAAGTAAGGTTAACCTTTTAGCAGATGTCAGATTTTATATATTTATTTTTGAAAATCATTTAATTATAAATTGTAAATAAAGTATAGTTTAAAGCCTGATTTATAGATTTCCTTCCTTCCTCCTGTAAAAGATAAACAATACAAAAACCGTTGTGCTGTTTATAGATTCCCGTACAGAAATCTATAAATAGCACTACGATTTTCGTATTGTTCATCTTTTACGGAAGAAAGGAAGTCAATCTATAAATCAGGCTTTACATTTGAGGTTATGAGCATTATTTCTCGTATAATAATATACGATTTTCTTAAAAAAAATTGCAATTTTTTTTTCTAAAAAACTAAAATTTCACGAATAATTTAAAAAATTTCTCGATTAGTCAGTTTTTATAAAAATAATAAGCGTTTGAAAACAAGCACCAAATTTTTGGTGAGTATACCCATCAAAATTTATTAAAAAAATGTGAAAAAACTCGACGTTATTAGTGTGGTAGTAAATTTCAGTCAAAAAGTGGTCGTTTGGCGGGAAATGTCCCATATATATATTGCAGATAAAGTTGTGCAAAATACAGATTATCCGAACAATTCACATAAATTGCGTTTTGAAAAAGCTCCCCATATTCTCCAAATATGTGGTAGAACCCACAATCCACACATTGTGGTAGAACCATAGATTATAGAAACATATCTAATAGTAAGTAAAAGTGTCACGAAGCTTCTGTATCTTTCCATGGTACTTCGAGTCTTATGCGCATGCCCGAGAATTGACAACGAATTGCAAAACAGGTCAACGTTCTGCTATTCTCGGACATGCCCATAAGACTCAAAGTACTATAGGTATGTCTGCACCGTTCTATGGTATGTTCTAGGTATGTCTGCACCGTTCTATGGTAGCGTTTTCGTCTTTCTTCCGTATTCAACTAGAAAGATGTTCTTTGGTATGGATTATAATAGTATGCAACCAATCTTACACATTTAACAGTTCCTTTAACCTATGAGTTTAACTATATCCTTTTTCTATGCTAAAAACTAGGTATGCTCTACATTCCATAGATCTTCTATAATCCACGATCTAAATTATTTGTAATCTAATAACTTATGTTTGGACATCAAGAATAAATCTTTCCATCCTTAAAATATTACCTTATTTCAAAAATACAAAATTTTATATTAAATCTATAGATTTAATAAAACAATATGTTGTTTTTTGATTTACCAATAACAAATATTTACAATACCACTGTATAATTTTGTGGTCTCTTTCTAACAAGTTAAAAATGATAGCCTGTCCTTTTCCTTTAGGAAGAGATACTGGATACGACACTTGTCAATTTAAACAAGTTATCAATAAAATCGTTTACCAGTTTTGTTTCTGTGCAGTGTAAGGTTTTAAATGAACATTTTGTTGTGTTTTGTGCGTTTATGATTTATCTAATGTGTGTTTGTAGGTAATATGCGGTTTCCTACATAGTATACGTTCATACTGCAAAGAAACAAGCAAATTCGGTAAGTAGTTCTTGTCATAACCTAAATGTTTTTATATGTATTTATTTCAATTCAAGTGCGCTTGTTAAAGAGTTTTAATAACAATCATGTGCTTTATTTATTAGTATATTAATTGAATTTTCCAATGCTCTATATTATTTCTTAAATATAAACAACAATTCTCTTTGACATTTGACAGATGTTTTTTAGAAAATACAACATTTAACATTTATTTATCAGTGTTAAATTCATGAATCAGTCGGTTTAGTTATGCTATTGTGTTTTGCAGATTAGAATTGAAAATGATAGCGGAATTAATTAGGTAGCTATTAATCAGAAATGGGTGAACTAGGAAATAACAATCTTCTGCATTTAGGGGACATAGTCTCCCTTTATGCAGAAGGGACTGTATCAGGGTTCTTAAGTACCCTAGGGTAAGTGTGTATTCTACATTCTAATGTTTATTTACTTAAACCCCAAAATTTTAGCCTGGTTGATGACAGATGTGTTGTATGTCCAGAAGCTGGGGATCTGGCCAACCCCCCCAAAAAGTTTAGAGGTAAAAATATATATTTTTTATTGGTAAGATGTATTAAAAAACTAATTGTTTTAGATTGCCTGTTCAAAATATGTCCTATGAACAGGTATTCAGCTCAAAAACAATTTTGGAAAGCTGCTAAGCAGAGTATGGGCTCAAATACTGATACAAGTTTATTGAAAAGATTACATGTAAGTCCCATAAACATTATTTCCCTTTGAATTATTTTAAATAAACCACAATTATATTCTATCAAGATAATCTATTTTTAAATTGTTTAGAGTAATTGATATTAGTATAAATATTATTTCAAATGCATTTTAGATAAAAAAAATATTTATTTTACATAGTGCTTTGAATTATTTTAAATCAAATAATATTTTAAATATAACTTAAAACTTCCAATTAATCATAATTTATACTTTGATAAACAAATGCCAATTTTGAAGGTTGTGGTTTTGAAACAAAATATTATGTTATAAAATGTTTATTCTATGGATTCTTTAAAGGAAACTATAATCATTCTTAAATAATCAATAGATAATAAGTTGAATGCGCGTCAACAGGTGGAGCACTAAGTCTCATTCCAGGTATTGGCTCTCCCTGGAATTACCTCAATATAACGCAATAATTTTGAGTAAAATAATTTTTACTGATAATTTAACATTATTTTAAAGCGAAAAAACATATTTTCACATTTTGTAGTTCTAGCTAGAAAAAAATATAAACTCTTGATTTACCACGCGATGGGTACATGTTTTTAAAACTTAATTTTTTTTTAATGGTTTAAGGCTATATATTTATATAAAGGTTTAGAACACAATTTTACAATGACGTTTAATGATAATTTAAAAAAGCCAAATGATTTTGAAAAAATTTAATTTGTTATTAATTATTTTTACAATTAAATATTTCGGCGATATTTGTTTAGAAAATTAATTAAATGTGCAATATACAGACTGTTTTGAATCAAGTAAGTAAGGCTGGAGACAAGGATGACAAATTATATTCTGATCAGAGAAAACGAAACAAACTTTAATTGGGCGTGTTTTAAACCAAGCCATTCGTAATTACGAACCATAGTTGCCAGGTTGTTTTAAATCAGAAGAGAACGATTATAATTATTTAATAAATAGTTCAATTTTATTTGTTTGAAACTTTAAAAATAACAAAAAAATTAATAATATGTCAAAAATAATTTGATTTAGTTAATGTTCTTACTTTTAATATTAAAAAATAAGAAAAACAACCCTTTTAGGAAACAATAATAGCATATGGCAACAGCGCGGCATGCAGCCAGATACAAGGGCATGCAGTTTGATCTACTGTTTGTTCAGTAGGTCCGACGCTGTCGTAGCGAAATGTGCATAGTTTTTAAGAAACAAATGCAATTTTCAACCAGTAATTCATCTGAAATTATTGCACAAATGTAATAAATGATTTTTTAAAAACTTTTAGGTGGATGATTAATGCATTTGTACATACTTAACGGTTTGGTGTAAAAACCGGTCTGCTTCGTTTTAAATTTGGTTTTGAGTTGCATTTGAATCTACTTGACCGGCTTTTGCATTAAACCCTTCAAGAAATTACAGATACAATATTTTATTTAGCATGCAGCAGAAATAGAAAAGAAACAAAATGAAACAGAAAAAAAGAAACTGTTGGGGACAAATGTTCAATACGGAAACGTGGTACAGCTGCTTCATTTGAAGTCGAATAAATTTTTGACCGTAAACAAACGGCTGCCAGCTCTTTTGGAAAAGAATGCAATGCGCGTGTACTTAGATAGTAATGGCAACGAAGGTTCTTGGTTCGTAATTAAGCAATTTTATAAGTTAAGAGCCGTCGGCGACAATATCGTGTTGGGCGATAAAGTGATATTAAACCCGCTGAACACCGGGCAGCAAGTTTTGCACGTGGCGGCCAATCACGAGCTTGTCGATAACCCGGGATGCAAGGAAGTGAACGTGGTGAACGGAAGCACTTCCTGGAAGGTGACCTTGTTCATGGAACACCGCGAGAATTCGGAGGAGGTACTTAAAGGCGGCGACGTGGTGCGTCTGTTCCACGCCGAGCAGGAGAAATTCTTGACCATGGACGAGTACAAGAAAACGTACCACGTGTTCTTGCGCACCACCGGAAGAACCAGCGCGACCGCCGCGACCAGTAGTAAGGCGTTGTGGGAAATCGAAGTGGTCCAACAGGATCCGTGCAGAGGCGGCGCCGGGCGTTGGGACTCGATTTTCCGCTTCAAACACCTCGCGACCGGGCAGTACTTGGCAGCTGCAGCTGACACAGACAATGACGCGACCACCACCGAGGGAAATGCAAATCACAAGCAGCAGCAGCAGTCGGAATCAACGGACAACCCCCCTTCCTATCAGTTAGTGCCGGTGGCGTATTCCAATGAACTGGCCTCTCTGTTTGAGCTGGATCACACCAGCTTGACCCGTAGCGACTCTCTAGTACCCCAATCGAGTTATGTGAGGATGCAGCATTTAGTGACTAGAAGCTGGGTGCATTCGACCTCAATTCCCATTGACAAGGAGGAGGAAAAACCGGTCATGTCGAAAGTCGGTTGCGCCGTAGCAAAGGAAGATAAAGAAGCGTTTGCTCTAAAACCAGTGTCTCCTGTTGAAGTACGCGACCTGGACTTTGCCAACGATGCTTGCAAGTTACTTTCTTCTCTATCTGTCAAGTTGGAGAATGGCACAATATCGCACAATGAAAGAAGATCCTTGACAAGCCTACTCCAAGACATTATATACTTTGTAGCTGAGCTGGAAAATGAGCAAAACAAAACGGAAGCGTTGGAGTTAATTGTTACAAATCCTAATAGGGACAGGCAAAAATTACTTAGGGAACAAGCCATTCTAAAACAACTATTCAAAATCCTGCAAGGCCCTTTCCTGTCCATTAATGGCGAAGAGCCCTTTTTAAAAATCGAAATGCTTAACGACCCACGTTATGCCCCCTACAAATACATATTCCGTTTGTGCTATAGAATTTTACGTTTAAGTCAGCAAGACTACAGGAAAAACCAGGAATACATTGCGAAACATTTTGCTTTCATGCAAAAACAAATTGGTTACGACATTCTCGCCGAAGACACAATAACTGCCCTCCTTCACAATAATAGAAAGTTACTGGAAAAACATATCACCGCCGCCGAAATAGAGACGTTTGTCGGTCTAGTGCGCAAAAATATGAGCAATTGTGAATCCATATTTCTAGACTACCTCAGCGATCTATGTATCTCGAATAAAAAAGCAATACCCGTTACTCAAGAGTTAATTTGTAAGAGCGTTTTAAGCCAGAAAAATTCCGACATCCTTATAGAAACTAAAATGATGAAAACCCAGGTGGAAATCCAGGAAGATACGCTGGATAATGAAGATGAAACCGACCCCGAAGTAACAGTTATAGAGGAGTGCCAAATATATCTTCTCTGGGGAAACAAGCAAAAACCTCTCATAGAGTTATGCAAGAACGCTAAAATGGGCGTAAAAGACGACCAAGCCATATTAGACTATTACAAACACCAACTGGATTTGTTTTCTAATATGTGTCTAAACAGACAGTACCTTGCTCTTAATAACTTATCGCCTCATTTGGATATAGATCTGATTTTAAAATGCATGGAAGATGAGAGCGTTAGCTTCGACTTGCGGGCTTCGTTTTGTCGGCTAATGCTTCATTTGCACGTCGATAGGGATCCACAGGAATCGGTTACGCCGGTCAAATATGCCAGGTTGTGGTCGGAAATTCCTTCACAAATGTCCATTAATGAGTAAGTTAATTTGTCTCAACAAGAACATGAATTTTGAACATTTGTTCATTTATTCCAGTTATGATACAAACAAAAACCCGGATCCTAACAAGGAAGCAGTAAGGGGTAGATTTAATTCAACCATAGAATTTGTAGAAGACTACCTTTGCAATGTGGTTGCCAAGATGTGGTCATTTGCTGATCAAGAACAGAATAAGTTGACGTTTGAAGTAAGTTCGATTTGGATTTTTTGTTTGAGTGTGGTAAATTGTGTTTTTTAGGTTGTTAAATTGGCTAGAGAATTAATCTATTTTGGATTTTATAGTTTTTCTGATTTGCTTAGATTGACTAAGACTTTGTTGAGTATTTTGGATTGCGTGTCTGAAAAAGATTTCATGGAAGGGGGAGTACCGTCAAGCGACATGACTTGTAAGTAGTTTTAGAAAAACCCATTAAATCAAGTAATTTTGTTTGTATTCTGCTTAGCTGGGGAGAAAATACGAGGCGAACGAGGTATTTCTGGCACTTGTGTTGTTGTTTTTTCACTGTCTTGCATTTTGTTCTCTTTGTTATTTTTTATATAACCTAATGTTTCCTTTGCTAATTCACTTGCTTTACTATTTAGCTGAAGGGGGGGTTCTAAGGACCATGAGAGACATGGGAACCGTCATGACTTCATTAGCATTAGGTCCAGCTGGAAGTAGTGTGGTTACTACAAATTCTGGACAGCATGGAAAAGCATCACAGTACATGAAAGAATATCCACTTGTGATGGATACTAAACTAAAGATCATAGAAATTCTTCAGGTATTATTACTAAAAACGAGCAAGTAAGTTCTGGAAATGATTTGAGATCGATTCCTATCCAAAAATGATTTGTAGAAGTGCTCCAAAGCATTTTTGGGCAAAACGGTTTATGCCAAGTCGATATAAAATCATCCCTAGAATTTGCTGTCTTAGTTTGTCAGTTTTGTTTCTGGACACATAACATTTGCCTTTAGTTTATTTTGGACGTGCGCCTAGATTACCGCATAAGCTGCCTGCTGAGCATTTTCAAGCAAGAGTTCGATGAGTCGGAGAAAAACAGTTCCGGGGATGTAACTTTAGGGCAAAAAAACATCGATTTAGAATTGATTGGGAGCCAAGCTGAAGGCATATTTGGAAGCAGCGAGGAGTGCGCCGTCTTAGATCTCGATGGTTACGGAGGTCGCACTTTTCTTCGAGTTCTCCTACATTTGACCATGCACGATTATCCATCTCTGGTGTCTGGAGCGTTGCATCTGCTGTTCAGGCATTTTAGTCAACGCCAGGAAGTCCTGCAGGCCTTCCGGCAAGTTCAGTTATTAGTTTCGGATAGCGACGTGGAGTCCTACAAGCAGATAAAAGCGGATTTGGACGTGTTAAGACAGTCGGTGGAGAAATCAGAGTTGTGGGTGTATAAGTCGAAATGCGTTGAAGAATTAAGTACATCCAACAAGAAGAATAAGGACGAGGAAGATGAAACTCCAGCGATGCCAGTTTCCAAACCTCCAAAGATAAGCGTTTTGGAAAAGAAAGGTTCGGCTATAAATTTAGACGTGGGGCCACCTCTACACCCAGAACAAGCTGACGAGTACAAAAAAATTCAACTGATATTGATAAGAATGAATAAGTTGTGTACTCAAGGATCGCCAATTGGATTGGCTAAGCCCAGAAAGCACGAACAAAGGTTGTTAAGAAACGTTGGAGTCCACACTGTTGTACTGGACTTACTGCAAGTCCCTTACGATGAAAAAGAGGACATTAGAATGAACGAACTGATGAGATTGGCTCACGAGTTTCTGCAAAACTTCTGCCTGGGCAATCAGCAGAATCAACAGCTACTCTATAAACATTTGGATCTATTTTTAAATCCGGGGGTGAGAAACTCAATTGGAGTTGTGTTATACAGTTTTGACATGTTAATGTGTTTTAGATCAGAGAAGCCCAAACTGTATGTGCAATATTTCAAGATAACTCAAAGCTGTGCAATGAAGAAAACGAAAAAGTCATCCAACATTTTGTTAGATGCATTGAAAGTCATGGAAGACATGTGCAATATTTAAAATTTTTACAGACTATTGTCAAGGCTGAGAATCAGTTTATAAGAAAGTGCCAAGATAGTGTTATGCAAGAGGTAAGCAAGTTCATCCGGTACCGATTTAGGTCGACTCGGAATCAAATTTTGAGCATTTTTTTTTTCTGTTCTTTGGATGTCTGTTAGTCTGTGTCATTTTTTGATTTTTTTTAAAGAATTAATAATTAAAAAACTATTTTAGATAGAAGTTTAAAATTTTTATTATTTTATTAGGACACAACTTTCATTACAATTTTGTTAGTCTAAGCAAGGTCCAAGTGCACTTTTTATCGATTTTTTTACGAAGTTTCGGGGTTTACCCGTGGAGCATTCCAGTTCGAAGGGATCGACTAGGGAAGATCAAATTTGGTGAAAAGGTGTATGCTGACCATTGTTAAAAGCCTATACCAGAAGGGCCTTCCAGGCATGCAACTTTCGGAAAAAAAATTTTTTTTTGATTTTTTCTGAAAATTTACAAATATATTTTTCCAGAAAACTAAGAAGAGTTTAACCAAACAAAAAATATGAATCGATGTGTAAATGATTGTTATCTAACATACTGAAAAATAAAAAACATGGCCGACTGCTCAATTTTTTTTTCTTATTTAAAAAAATTAGTTAAATTTTAATTAATTTTATTCTATTGTTTAATTGAATATTATTTCTAATTTTACCATACTTATGGGTAAATTATGTTCTTCTAAATCGATTTGCCAAATAAAAATATTAAAATTTTTTCCTCTTCTTCTTCTGCGATTTATTTTACAAAATCATTAATAACTCTTCACATATAATAGATGGCGACTTGAAATTTGGCAACAATGTGTGGGCTTATATCTTGGTAAAATCAAAAAAGATTGGGAATTTTTTTTTTAAATATTCATCGATTTTTTTACACTTTTTAAAATTCCATTTTTGCACTCAAGAGCTCAAGTGTTATTGTATGGAAATATTTATAAAACTATAAATTTTTATGCATGCCATTTTAGTTGGTGAATGCAGGAGAAGACGTGTTGGTGTTCTACAACGACAAGGCATCATTTAATCACTTCATAGAAATGATGAGATCTGAAAGACATTGTATGGATGAAGGTAGTCCATTAAAGTACCACGTAGAGCTGGTTAAACTACTGGCTTGCTGTACTATGGGAAAAAACGTGTACACCGAAATAAAGTGCCATAGTCTTTTGCCATTGGACGATATTGTCGCCATGGTAACGCATCCGGATTGCATACCGGAAGTAAAGGAAGCTTATGTCGGCTTTTTGAACCACTGTTACATTGATACTGAAGTCGAGATGAAGGAGATTTACACGTCGAACCACATGTGGGCGCTTTTTGAGAAGTCTTTTCTGGTAGACATGGCAGACATAGCGACTGCTCCAACAGATAGAAAACACCCTGATAGGGCTTTGGAAAATTACGTAACGAATTGCGTTATGAACATAATTTCGACTTTCTTTAGTAGTCCGTTTTCTGATCAAAGTACAACGGTCCAGGTAAGCGTCAATGTTTCTGAAACTCTCATTTTTTAAGTTCATCAATGTGCTTTAATCTTAGCTTTATTTAATTATTTTGATTAAGTTGGTGTAGTAGCTAAATGTAGTTGATAAAATAGCGCCGGTAGAGACTCTCTTAACTATTAAGACCTATGCTTTACGGTTTCTTATTTGGGATTTTACTAGAAACATCTGCATGAAGCACGGGTATTCTGGAGCGACTCAACAATGGACGAATACGATCCTTTCATAGTTAATATACCGCTCAAACAGTCGCCCTGCGCCCCTAACGTAAGTAAACAAGAACCTACAACAACAAAAAGATTTAAAAACATTATTTTATATCTAAAACTGTCGATTTCAAATTCAAAAACTTAGACAAATTTTTTGATAGTTTTCTATATAATCATATGACAACATTAACAAACCAACACAGATAAATGTATTGCTTTATCTGCTGCATTAAATCCTAGTATAGAATGGCTTCGCTTCAACCACCTTCTAGCTTCTAACACGAGTTTATTACTTGCTTAGCGATTTTTTATATTTAACAGGATTTTTATAAGTCTATAATAACACAGTTTTGGTCCTCAGCAAACCAAAATTTGGGACTTTTCTTTCTATAGAAAATGACCTATTTAAAGCAATGCACCAATCAAAGCACGGCATTCTCCACACCACACTAGGTGCGGCAATTTATAGACTGATAAAAAAGGATTGCATGAGACTACTAATACGTTTGGATTTTGATTTTGTGATTTATTTTTGATTCGATATTACTTGATATAAATATTTTGCAGACCAGGCAACCAATTTTTGTTCAGCTATTGCAATCTGCATTCAGAGTATCGCAGTGCCCTTGGCTAGCTGCCTCACAACGCTTTAATGTTGAAAACTGTATACGTACACTCTCAGAAGTTGGTTAGTTTTTGTTTTAAAACATTTTCAATTGTTATTTGTACTACTGATTTTATACTTTCAGCCAAAACGAGGGGTATTGCAATACCTCTGGACTTGGAAAGTCAAGTCAACGCTATGTTCACCAAAACCAACATACTTACCAGACAGACAACCAACAAATGGAAGGTTGCTTCCAAAACGCAGAAAATTGAGCGATCTCAATCTCAAGTAACTTATTGCATAAATATTAATACAAAATAATTTAACAAAATATAATTTTTAGCTAATGAGACTTGACAGGAGTATCATAGAAGGTTTACAAGATATTGTTTCTTTACTAGAAGATCAATTAAAACCTCTGGTTCAATCCGAATTATCGCTCCTTGTAGATGTTCTTTATCGCCCTGAATTGTTGTTCCCACACGGCTCTGAACCTAGAAAAAAGTGCGAAAGTGGGGGATTCATACGAAGGTACAAAATCAAACAACAAAATTTTGTAGTTTAATATTCTTTGTTTAGATTAATAAAACATACTGAAAAACTGTTGGAAGAAAGAGAGGAGAAATTGTGTGTCAAAGTTCTAAAAACTCTAAGAGAAATGATGGCCATAGACCCAGAGTATGGGGAAAAGGTTACTATATTTATCTTTTAATTTTTACTATTTTTAACCTTCCATATATTTTACAAATTATTTTTCTTTTTAATCTGCTGCTTAGAATGATAAAAAAGAGAATGAAATGGTACGGTATCTAAATAAATCTCTACATATTTACGCTGAGTGTTGTGTGTACATAGGCTTGCTATTTTGCTGTCCACTTTTATTTATAAATGTTATAATAAAGTTTATTTTAATAGGGCGACGTGCTGCGTAACAGTTTACTGGCAAGATATTTCGGTAAAGCCTTTGTGGCCAACGAAACGGTCCAGTTGGGAAATTATCAGATTTCTTCCGTCATGCATGGACCAGGTGGTCAGTAAAAATAAATATTTTTATGTATTGTAAATGGTTGATGTTGATTTTATTATTTAAGCCAAAATTTTGAGTAGAGCTGGAAGAACTCTACATGAAGTCCAGACGCATTTGGATAAGGAGAAGGCTTCAGATTTGGTCGTAGAGCTGGTCATCAAATCTGTTAATTCACAGAGCATTTTTAATGAGGCTGTAGAGTTAGGGATTGCCCTACTCGAAGGAGGAAACCCCATCATACAAAAGAGCATGTTTAATAAGTTACTGAAAGGAGACTTAAACCAATCATTCTTTAAAGTAAGTTATTATCGACGATGAAGATTTGAGTCAGGTCGTTGTGGTTACCAATCGATCTAAAACGATCTTACTTACTGTATACTTTTTTTAAATATTTAGTGTTGCATTTGTAGGTTTTTAACGATAAAATGAAAGATGCTCAGCAAGAAATCAGGTCGACTGTAACGGTTAACACGTCCGATATCGCAGTGAAGGCCCACGAAGATAAACAGGATGGTAAGGATTTGGATAAAATTTCGAAGAAGCCTGGCGGAAAAGTCAACGGGATTCTTATAAGCGACGAGCTAAGAGACGAACTTAGCAGAGCTGCTGAAGCGACATCTCAAACATTTGCCCATATACGTAACCTAGCGGCAGCCGGGGATGAAGGGATTGTACCGTCGAGCGCTGGCTCGGCTTTTGAAGATCTGCTAGCTGAAAAGCACAGAGATAGGGAAATAGAGAATGTTCTGTCGAACAAAATTTTAATTATGCAGCCCGTTTTGCGTTTTTTGCAATTGCTCTGCGAAAATCACAATCCCGACTTGCAGAAATTGTTGAGACACCAGAGCAATAAAAACAATTACAACTTGGTGTCCGAGACTTTGATGTTTTTGGATTGCATTTGCGGTTCTACCACGGGTGGTTTGGGACTTTTGGGTTTGTACATCAACGAAAATAACGTAGCTTTAATTAATCAAACTTTAGAGACTTTGACTGAGTACTGTCAAGGTCCGTGCCATGAGAATCAGAACTGCATTGCCACGCACGAATCAAACGGTTTGGGGATAATAACCGCCTTAATCTTGAACGATATAAATCCTTTGGAAAAATCCAGGATGGATTTGGTTTTGGAGTTGAAGAACAACGCCTCGAAGTTATTGCTGGCGATAATGGAGAGCCGCGGCGATAGCGAGAACGCAGTCAAAATCCTCAACAACATGAATCCCAAGCAGTTGGTGGATGTGGCGTGTCGCGCTTTCCACCAAGAAAGCGCCGAGGACGAGGACGACGTCGACGACGCCAGCGTCGAGGACATCGTCTCGCCCAAAGACGTGGGCCACAACATATACATTTTGTGCCATCAGTTGGCGCAGCACAACAAAGATCTTGCCGCCCTGCTCAAACCAGCTGACTTCGCTACCGACCAAAAGATGCACAAGGCCCTCATGTACTACGCCAACCATACAGCCCAGATTGAAATTGTGAGGAACGATCGCACTCTCGAGCAAATCGTCTTTCCGATACCCGAAATTTGCGAGTATATCACCACCGATACGAAGATTAAGGTTCTGAATACCGCTGAAAGAGACGATCAAGGCTCGAAAGTGTTCGACTTTTTCGAAAGGACCGATCAGATGTTCAATGAAATGAAATGGCAAAAAAAATTAAGAGGTGACTATCGCAAATGTGCATTTATTTGTTTAATTGTGATTAATCGTTTCAGCACAACCCGTTTTGTTCTGGGTTAGCAGTTATATGTCCCTTTGGAGTAATATATTATTCAATTGTGCCGTGCTTATAAATTTAATAGTGGCATTTTTCTATCCTTTTGAAAGCACATTACCTAGTAAGTATTTTGATATTGATATTTATAATAAATTATTACATAAATTGTTGGGCGAAGTCTAGCCAAGGCTACTATACTTAACCCAACACAAAATCAAATAGTATAGGTACACCTAAATATTAATAATGAAAAAAAATACCAAAAATCAGCTAAAAATAGTTTCTTTTTAAATACAGACATAATAATAATAATTTGAAAGTTTAATTTGGTCATCTATGTATACAGGGTGTTATGTAATTAATGTTATATATTAAAATACTGAATACCTTTTGACATAAGGAATAAAGGAAAAATATTAAAAAAAACATTTTTCCAAAGATAAAGAAAAAATATGCATTAGAAGTTTTTTATATTTTTTGTGATACGCCACTGGTTACACACTTGTTTATCTCTGCACACCTGTATTTTGTGAGTACATAGATACCAACCAACAAAGTAGCTATGCGTTGCCAGATGTAAAAAATTGTTACTAAAAATTTTTCTTGCAAAAAATAAATAAAAACTCAATAAATACAAAAGTTTTATGCCCTTAAAGCTCTAATACCCTTCTGTATTTATTTACTGATCCAGCTATTAGCTTAAGCAATGATTAGAAAATTTAGTGCCTTTGAAATTTGAAATCCATAACCACAAAATTAATTTTTTCATCAGTTTTTTTCTCTGTTTACTCAGATGAAATTGGGACCAGTTCACAGGTTAAACTTTAAACATTTAATTTCTGTAAATAAATCCAAAAGCACTTCCCTTAGTTAAGATATTTACAATTTGAAAACATAACCTAAAATTTAAAAGAAATGCACTAGATTCTGTCATAAAAGTTGGCAGATTTTGTTTGAATTTACCTTCAGTACAAAAATGAAATAACCAACAATTAATAAAAACGCCAAATTGACAATTTGCATTGTTAATTTTGTCATTTTTGTAATTAAGCTAAATTTAAACAATGTTTGTCAACTTTTTTGAGAGATTTTGGAAACACTGTTACCGACCATAACATAATAAATCCACCAGATTAACCTAAAGTTCCTAGTCGATCAGTGGCGTACTTTTTGGTAGGATAAAGGTTATTATAAATTATTTTTAGACTTAAGAATTTAGAAAAAAAAAGTTTCAGGTGCTTCTTTATGGACCCTAAGGAACAACCCATTTTAATATATAACATTAATTACATAACACCCTGTATTATTAAAAAAACTGCATTATACGCTAAAGAAGTATTGGGTTTTCGGAACGCGCGCGCCATCTGGTGGACTTTTCAACAATACAACAAGCATACGAACTGTACATCATTTTTAAATAAATAGGTAGTTTTTTCATGTTTTGCCAAAGGATCCAATTCGGTAAGTACATTTGTTGGCGCAGAATTAACTAATGATAACTTTACCTAATACAATTTATATTTAAGTTTGGACATTTTTAAGAAATTAGTAAAAAATAATTTTTGCACAAACATAAAATCAACCATTTTTATATTTGAGTTCTCCAAAAAACGCCGACAACTGCATTTTAAACAACAAAATATACCACGAATTCATGGCAACATAATATTGTATGTAATACATAATATTATGGTATTTTACCGTTGAGTGGAGACTTTCTTAATCAACGCTTTTAATAATGCTAAATGCGGTTTAAATTTAGACGACTTATTTGTTTGACGATTTTTACTGAATTGAAATGTTTACACTTTTTACGTTAATCACTACTAAAATGTATATTTATTGTATCTAATAGGTACAATTTATATTTACAGAGACTGTATGCAATTTATTTCTTCATTCAGATTAACACTGTTTATTGGAAAACCGGTAAAACTCAACCCAGGATTTTCTCTCGAAATGCAATTCATTTCGAAATAAAAGTTCTTCCCTTAAATAATTTGGAGTATTGAATAACAAAATTCTTTAAACATATACTGCAAGATAAAGATTGTATTGCTTATCAAGTTTTCACCAACATAGCTCTTTCATTTTGAAAGAAACGTGATCGTATCTTTTCAGTCTAAAAATAAGATTTAAAGTAAGTTGATCTAAACATGTTAAATAACAGTGATAAAAAATGACTTTAATGCCGAGGTGCATATTAAATTTTATCCGAAATCACATTTAATAATACTTATAATTAATATTGTTGATTAAATCAAATGTCATTTGAATGTATGAAGTGTCCAAGTATACTGTTTGTTGCGACGGTTAATATATATTGGCCGCCGCGGCGATATTTTAATCTAAATTAATAAAATTAACTTATTATTTTTATTAAACAAGATTTTGTGAAAGGGTCCAATCGACCTCCGCGTAAATATTATTTAGTTGCTACTGAGGAGCAGTAGACACATCTTAAAATGTATAATGAGTTGCATACAATACTCGTATTAAATCGGCAGTGTAATTATTTTAGGAATTAGTTCATCAGTGTCAGTTTTGATTTGGTTCGCCATGTTGACGTCCGCAGCCATAGTAATAACGTTACCAAGGGAAACTGGTGTACGGACACTGGTAGCCTCCACCATTCTTAGACTGATATTCTCTCTAGGCCCGGAGCCGACGCTGTGGCTTCTGGGCACCGTCACAATTCTACTCAAAGGCATACATCTAGTCAGCATAATGGGCAATCACGGCACACTTACTAAAACCTACAAACAAATACTCACTGACGCCGAACTGGTCTACCATTTAATTTATCTTGTGTTCTGTATGCTGGGCCTCATGATGCATCCGTTCTTCTATTCCGTTTTGGTTTGCTTCTTGAATAAAATTTTTAGTTTCCCAGTATTAATTCATTAATTTTAGTTGTTCGATGTAGTTTACAGAGAAGAAACCCTACTTAATGTGATTAGATCTGTCACGAGAAACGGTAGATCCATCATTCTTACTGCCGTCTTAGCTTTAATTTTAGTTTACATGTTCTCTATTATCGGGTACATGTTCTTTAAGGATGATTTTATTGTAAGCGTGAATAAACAGACAGGTATACAATCCCAAATCATCACTCTGCATGAACTAAGGCTTACGTATTTTTGTTTTTTAGATGAAGCAGAAGAGTTAAAGTCAGGTCTAACAGGCCAGAAAATAAATGAAGATTTTACCGGTGAACAATGCGAGGTGGTGGATCCTGGAGAAGAAGCCAGAGAAAGGGCCTGCGACTCTCTTATAATGTGCATCGTCACCACTTTAAACCAAGGGCTTAGAAATGGGGGCGGAATCGGGGATATTCTTAGGGCGCCCAGTAGCGAAGTAAAGAATTTCCTCAACTAAATAATCTAATTTGTTTACATTCGGTTTCGTTTTAGGAGGCCCTATTCGTTGCTAGAGTCGTATACGACTTGCTCTTCTACTTCGTGGTGATTGTTATAGTACTTAATCTTATTTTCGGTGTTATCATCGATACATTTGCTGACTTAAGGTCCGAGAAACAACTTAAGGAAACCATATTGAAGAATACCTGCTTTATATGCGGTTAGTAGTCTATAGGTCCAAAGTCGTGTATAACTAAAATTAATTTAATTAAATATTCTGCAAGCATTTCTCTTATCACCGCTTTTGTTTAATTTCGTTCAGGATCTCATGCCAGCATCGACAGACGCGTTTCGTTCTGTGGAACTCATCACCATTGTGCAGGCAAATTCTCTTCTCACCGCTTTTGAACTATTCCTTTCCAATATAAGGAAAGGAACTAAAGTTTTCGTTTGGGTCTCAAGCCTATAGCAACTCGGCACTGATGAGTTCCACAGAACGAAACGCGTCTGTCGATGCTGGCATGAGATCCTGAACGAAATTAAACAAAAGCGGTGATAAGAGAAATGCTTGCAGAATATTTAATTAATATATATATCTAGCGAGTTTGTCGCAAAGTATTAATACTTTTAATACGATAACTATATAAAATTAATTTGTTTTAGGTTTAAATCGTACGGATTTTGACAACAAGACAGTGAGTTTCGAGGAGCACATAAAGTGCGAGCATAATATGTGGCACTATTTGTACTTTATAGTCCTTATAAAGGTTAAGGATCCGACTGAATTCACCGGTCCTGAGAGTTACGTGTACGGCATGGTGAAAGCTTTAAATTTGGAATGGTTTCCTAGGTTGAGAGCCATGTCGTTGGCTGCAGTGGAGGGCGAAGGCGAACAGATCGAGCTGAGGAGTCTTCAGGCCCAGCTGGAGAACACTCAAGTGCTGGTAACCACTTTATCGCAACAACTAATGGAATTAAAAGATCAAATGGCTGAACAAAGGAAGCAAAAACAGAGGATTGGACTGCTGAATTCAGCTTCTGCTTATCTGCAAACTTCGACGTTGCCCTGATTAAATGTCCCCTAGTCTAGAGCAATATTTGCTCATCAAAATGTTACTGTGTACTTCTGAAATGCAATACCTTTGCTTGCATGTTACTATATAGTCAGTATAGCTCAGTAATGCTCAAGATCTTTTAGAAAAATATAGATTTATCAACCTGTTATGAAGAAAAATTTTACAACAAACTACAATTTGTGTTTTGTGTTGTGGTTATAGGGTTGTTTTAAGTAATGTTTCTTTACAAGAAATATGTTGCTGTACTTTTCAATTTATGTACAAATTTTATCAAATAAAGTTCTATATTGTGTTTAAGCTGGCTTTTACTAAAATACCTTTGACAAGTTACTTTCAGGATTAACAGGTGAGTATAAGTACTGCATTTTCAGGTTTAGTGAATATTATAAATGGTCTAAACCCAAAAATGCAGTACATAAGTATAAACTCAAAATTGTAATTTATTCAAAAAGGCCACTGCTTCAAGACGTTTTTTTTCTATTAATTTTTTAAACAAAGTTTTAGTAATAAATTGTTTGACAATTACATCATTTTAATTTATGAATTAATTAATATTTAATCTTTTACGGCCTTTTTTTACAGATCGACGAGATTTTTTGCATAGAGATAGGTTATGGGCCCGAGAGACAACTTTTTTTATATATTTTTTGAATTTTTTTTGTTGGTCGTGAAATGTCTTTTTTTTTTAAATGACAGTTCCTGGTACGTAATAAGCCGATCTGAATAAAATTTGGTTTGTGGATTGGTGGACCCCTTATTTTCTGTAGAACCATGAGGGTATTTAGCTATAGTATTAATTATAAAGGAATTGACTTTTCGCGTTACATTGATTGAATTTATGTGCAACCTATTTAGCACCCTTTTAGCAGCCCGAGTTCGTTAACCCTCATGACGCAAATGCCAAATGCACCTCCCATATTTACTTCACAATACAATATACTAATTATGAAAAAGTCATAGATGGAAGGGAGGAAGGGACGACACCCTATTGCATCCACCTCCGCTTTTACCATAATCATATAGCAAATGGTGGCCGCTCTAGTAGCAGGTTGTTTTTCCGATTTGTTCATATCGTTGTCATAAATAATTAATATTTGTGCGTGTTTAATTGATGTGTGTGACCTCCGAATGATAGATGGCGCGGATTATGCCATTGAAAACCGAATAGGTGTCGTTATAGTACTGTAAACAAATCGTATTACAAACACTTGACAGCTGTCGGTTTCCCGAATTGTGCGCGCTTTGCCCAAAAGTGAAAATTCGAAAATTAAGTTGGTAGTAAAACGTGGGAAAAAAGTTCGAATTTGAATAAAAGTGAGTGAGACTTTATTTTATGACGATCGCATGAACAAGACAATATTAACAATTAGCATTGAAACATGCCGGACCGGTTTAAGGTGTCAAAATCTGAACAAAGTAACAATATTGGCTTGCACAAATCATACAGTGACAATGACGACGATATTTCTGTAACAGAAAAATTGCTTCCGAACAATATCGGCCTAGAAAACAATGAAGCAGGTGAGTTAACTTTAATTAAACGTTAAGTGTTAATTTAATTAAAAATAAGTACTACGAATACGTAATGTTAACATTGCTGAAAAAAGGTAAATAACCAACTGACTTTTAACGTTAATCTATTTTTAAATCCGTGCATATGTTATTCTTTGTAAGGCTTTAATAAAGAAATGCAGAAACCTCAAAACTTCATATAAACCTTGATGTTTTATTGAAAATACATATAAAATTATATATTCATATCATTAAGCAAATAAATACAAAACTGTTAACACAAAATTTGATGAATGATAAGCAAACATGCAATTTCGTTTAAAAAATATCGAGTTACATTAACATTGAAGCTATAGCTGAATATATTCATGTTATAAATAATTGCGATTAGTTTGATCGTGACCTTAGGGTTAAATTGACTTATATACTTACCTTAACCCTTTAACAACCTGTTGTCGATTCCAACAAACAGCGAAATGTGGGACCCGTCAATAAATCTATACTATAACCTTATAGTATCGACTTAAGCCTAGCCTAGGTAATATTCAGTTCATGGTCGGTATTTTAATTTCATTGCACAGCTCCCTGCCTAACTGAATATATTTAATATTTCCTATGTCGCCGGCATCGATTTTAGGGTTGAATTCTGGGGGAATAATGACCTCCAATGTTTTTCTTAAGGGGTTAGGCCATGGTTAAATTAACTTCCGCACAAATGACAACTTTTTCCTTTTATTACTTAGGTTTTTATCAATACAGGTTCTTATAAATTTAGACCAAAAAAACTGGTTTCTTATTTTCGAGAGAATAGTAAGTAGGTACATTATCCACCAGGCGGAAAAACGCTTATATTATAGCCTAGCTCAGTGTTTATTTATTTTAGTTACCTACATTGATTTTGAGCTACATATGATAGATGGAACCACTTTTCCTATGTAATTTCAATGTATTTTTACTTATTTTAACTGCGTACAATATGAAGTCTCTCTATATAGGCTTATGAGTGTTATAATAAGAAAATTATTATAAACTTGAAACTTGAAAAAAAATGTTTTTATGGATTTTAACATGTTTATATCTTTATATTTTAGTTTTAAAAGTCAAAATAAAATATTGATTTACGTATTATTAAAATGGTCATCAATATTTAATTTAAGTATACATTAATATATGTATATATATTATGCATATATGCTTTCTGGATAATACTAAATGTTTTTAATTATTAAAAATATACACCCTCAAAATCTTCTCCGCGCTCTTTAGGGAGCTACAATTACTAATTAGGGCCTAAGGCCTACATTTTTAATTTTAACCTTAAAGAAAAAAAATTTCTTTCATCGATCTAAAACTTAAACTTTATTGTTCTAGAGTGATTGATTATAACCTAGGCACTTAAAAATAATTTTGGTTATTTATGGCCTAGGCTGTAAACATTTATTATTCATTTCTTAACTTTAACACACGGTCTGAAGTAAGCTTTTAGTAAAAGTGAGGTTAAAGTTGCTTGACAGCTGTCAGATTTTAGAAAAAAAATATCAAATAAAATTGGCTTTAAATTCCTTATGGTAGTTGAATAAAATGGTGTTTAAAAGAGCATTAAAAATGTCATGTGGTCGCAGTGTATAAAATTAAATATTAGCGATGATTAGATTACTATTGTTTGTTTTAGAATTTGTGTCATTATCATTTTTATTGGTGAAATAATTGTTAATAAGGCTGGATTATCGAACAAATAATGTGCCGCAAATGGATGGAAATTATATAAGTTCGTACGTGTTCAATAAAAAAAATTGTTTACGTTTCGAACAAAGTTTGAAAGCAATTCAGTAATCATTGCATTTGTTTAGTTAGGCTAAAAATACAGTTTCATTTAATCAGCATAAGTGCATAAAAATAACTTTAATAAATACGTGATAATGGCTGGTTTCTTAAATAATAGCCATTTAAAAAATTGATTTTATGCCCAAGGCATTAATCAATATTAATTGTTTTAATATTAAGTGCGTTATACAGGGTGTTACATATTTCGAGAGCATGGAAAATATAATATGCTTATAGTGTATTATGTATCAAGTTTTATAAAGGCCATTTTAGTTACAAGTTTTATTAGGCACGAGTTGCATACTATACTTTATCTACGACGAATATAAATAAGAATTTAAAGCCAATTTTATTTGTTAAACATTTGACATCTGTCAACTCTAAATGGATTTAACCTCACTTTTTCCTAATTTATAATAAAGCTAACTTCAGCCCATATCCATATAAATATATTTTTAATTAAGTTTTAGATATTTACTTTAAAGTTGTAAAAAACGAATTTATGTTATTTAGACCAAATTAACTTAAGGCTCAAGCCTCACACTCCTATACTCCCACGAGCCGCCACTGGGTTTAGGTCACAGCATCGAATAGTGGTTGTTAATGAGATTTGGTTGATTGTCCTCCTATCCCTTATTATTGTTTACTGTTATCTTGTGTAACATCCTACATAGTAAATTCCGTAGATAATAATAATAGCAGTAATATGATATATGAACATATTTCCCATCTTGGAATACTGTAACAAAATAATTTTTTTTATAATCTGCCGATATTTTATTTATTATCACATTGTTTAAAACCTGCCAATAAATGTATTATTTATCGATAATATAAACTGGCAATGGTCTTAGTAACTATTATACCAGTTTTAGTAGCAGTTTTAGTGCAATGCTGAAATACAACGAAGGTAATTGCTTTAAATTTTTAACTTGAAAATGTATTTGCCACCCTTTACTTTAATAACATACATAGGTACAGGCAACTTAATAAATATTTTATTTATTCATATCCAGTTTTTCTCCTTGTAAATTTATTATGTTTCAACAATTTTTTTTTAAACTGTTTTCATAAAGATTCTTATGCTCAATATTGACAAAATAATGATTAATTTAAATAGGTTGCGTGACCATCCTTGGATTTTCCTAAATATATGCATCTTTTTAAATAAATAAGAGTTTATACTTCCATAGCATTTCGTATGAAAATATATAGTAAAATCGATAAAACAAATTTGTACTTTAATTTAATTGTAACTACAAAAAATATTATTCTAAAAGTAAAAAATATGGCGTGTATTTCGGATACAGACAGGGTCCTGGAAAAACATTGTAAATTGGGGGAAATCGATGGGGTACGGTCCTGCTGAGGAAAGAGTTTTGTTATAAAACGCCTCCGCTTTTATTTGCAGGTTAGTTTTGATCGCGAAAAGAAATATGAACGGTGTGGGAATAAGATTAGTACGGAAAGCTCACCATGAAGGTACTTGGGATACATCCATATGTAGTGCACTAATTTTTTAACTTTTACCATTAATAAAACACATTTGTTTTTTAGTGATTTTACGATAAAACTAATAATAATATTTTTTTATATACAAGGTATGTCCGAAATTAGAACAAAAAAATTTTATGAGGTAAATTTTCAACATATAAGTAACAATCTAATTTTCAAAATTTGAAATTTGAGTCCATATTATTAATACCATCGCAATTTTAGATTTTTTTTTCCTGAGCGAGTTTATGTCTCAGAACAAACCATTGAGTTTAACAAAATTGACTTAAGAATATTTTTTGAAGAAAATTTAATGTTCTACAAAAAAGGTTTGATTGGAATTTCCCGTCATATGAACCGTTTTCTTACAATCATGCCTTAAAAATTGGTATAGTTTTACAATTTGATCTTTTAACTTTGGAATTTTGTAATTCATGTAAAACTTAGTACCCGGAAAAAAACCGATA